GTTTCACCGTGTTGACCAGGATGGTCTCGATCTCTTGACCTCGTGATCCACCCGCCTCGGCCTCCCAAAGTGCTGGGATTACAGGCTTGAGCCACCGCGCCCGGCTTTGAGCAATTCTTTAGATTTTGATGAATGTTGAATGTGTGGATGCTGGGATGAGTAATTAACAAGTAAGGCGATGAACGCAAACAAGAGTGACTAAATTGACGGACTCAGGGAGCCTTGAAGAGGGTGGGGCCTGGAAGGGAAGGAAGAGAGGAAGGAGAATAGCTAAGTGGGGAATTTTCACTCTGTGCTTACCAGAGCACATTGTCTATCCTGTGCTGAGGACAGAGGCCGTGGGGACAGCCTGGATCTACTGCCCACTTAAGAGAGAGGACAACTCAGACACAGCTGTGTATGCTCCCAGCAGCAACAGAGGTTCAGGCAAGATGCCCGAAGGAGGGAAGGGTGACAAGGGCAGTGGGGAGACTTGGCGGGTTTGTGCAGAGGGGAGGGACACATCTTTCTTTAGAAAGATTATGCTGGCTTCTGTGGGGAAGGCAACTTGAAGGGGAAGAAATTGGAAGAGGGAATACTTGACACTAAACACAGCACCAAGGGCAGTGAGGTTTTGGAGGAACCTTTACTAGAGAGGGAGAGGAAGCAGTCTCCATTATCCACTCTAGTGACAGAGCCCAAAGGGATAGCTCTGTAATGGCTGGGGGTGGGGATGAGGGTAGCAATGAACAGAGGAGATAGGGGCTGCTCCTTTTGTTGAGCGCTTTCCAGGACACCAAGTGCTGGTCTGGTGGCTCCAACATGGGAAACTTTTATGTTGTCTCTCAGGTCTAAGGGTCTCTTTACATTTCTTAAAAATTTATTTTTAATTTTTTAGGCTGGGTGTGGTGGCTCACGCCTGTAATCCCAGCACTCTGGGAGGTCAAAGCAGGTGGATCATCTGAGGTCAGGAGTTCGAGGCCAGCCTAGCCAACATGGTAAAACTCCGTCTCTACTAAAAATACAAAAATTAGCTGGATGTGGGGGTGCACGCTCGTAGTCCCCAGCTACTCGGGAGGCTGAGGCAGGAGATTCACTTGAACCCAGGAGGCTTAGGTTGCAGTGAGCCAAGATCATGCCACTGCACTCCGGCCTGGGTGACAAAGTGAGACTCCATCTCAAAAAAAAAATGTTTTTAAAATTTTTTAAAACTTCTATTGTTTTTCAGGTGGTTTTTGGTTATATAGATAAGTTCTTTAGTGGTGATTTCTGAGATTTTTAGCACACCTGTCACCAGGGCAGTGTACACTGTAATAAATATGTAGTCTTTTATTCCTCACCCCTCCCCACCCTACCCCACTCCCAGTCAATATCATTCTCATCAGCATTTGTTTTTTGAGAGGTAAGATGAGGTCTGCTGCATTAGCCCAGAGACAGCTGAGGAGGCTGGAAAGGAAAATGGTTTTCAGAGAAAAGGGAAGGAAAAAGTATGAGGAAGCAAAATTATTTAAAAAACACTGTCCTTTCCATTTCTGTGTCATTTAACCAAACACCACCCTGTGGGTTCTGTCAGTTGATCCTCATGCTGATCTGAGAACTTGGCAGAGCTGGGTGGCTGCCTTCCCCAGGACTAACCGGGTATCTAAGCTGTACAAGACCCCAGGTGATCCAGCATCTAACCACAGAGCCCTTGCTGGACACAGGGAGAAGACACTATGTGTCCCTGGCCCTGTTCAGGGGAGCAGGGAATGGACCCGAACGATTTAATTACTTGTCATAGATAAAGTCTAGAGAAAACGTGAGGATGCAAAGCATCTCCTCCAAATTGTGAAGGCTTACCCAGGGCCCACTCACTAATGCCAGTTCTCCTGGGCCCTTAAAGCCTGGGGGTGAGGGAGCCCTCTGGTCAACCCTCTCTACCCTAGCCTCAGGACCCCAGCATTGAAGGAACGGGGTCTGACCTCATTCATCACTGTAGGGATGGGGAGACTGAGGCAGGAGGTGAATGGGCTCCCAGCCTGGAGCCCTTTCCCCTCAGGACTTGGTCTCCCTACCCTAGGTCCCTCTGCAAGGACAGAAAGACATGGTCTGGAAATTGAAGCCACTTCTGCTTCTGGCCTGGGTAGCCACCATGTGCAGTGCCCAGGACAGGACTGATCTCCTCAATGTCTGTATGGATGCCAAGCACCACAAGACAAAGCCAGGTCCTGAGGACAAGCTGCATGACCAAGTATGGCTGGAGTGTGCCTCTACTAAGGAGGGGCTGGTTCTAACAGGGAGGAGGAAGTCAGGATGGTGGGGGAGGACTTGAGGGATCAGACACCTCCACACCCTGAATTTTTGCGGTGGGAGAAGATGAAAGTGGAGGGGGAAGAGTGGCTGAGGTGATTTTAGGGGGCCCTCCCCAGAGGTGGATACCATGTTGGCGATGAAATTGAGTCATCATTCAATGGGCACCTGTCAGTTGTCATGTGTTTTTTGTATACACTGTAATTTCATATCCCCAGGGGTTCTTTGATGTAGGTAGATGATATTCTCCACATAACACAAGTAAGTGAAACTGAGGCTCACAGAAGCACATGGGCCCACACAGAAGTTGGACATGACTGGCCCCTGTGGTGGGGTAGGAGTAGGACTGAGTTGGGCTCCTTCTTTTGGTGGGTGAGAGACTAGGGAGGCGCTGGCTGTTCCCACCCTCACTATGGGCCGGTTCCATGGAGTGCCAAGGGAGAAGAGAAGGAGGCCCTTTCCATCTGTAATTTGAGGCACAGGGGCTGTATATTTACAGTCTATATACATGTATGTCAGTGGATTGCAACCTTATTAGACTCAATATTTCCCTTTTATGACAGATATTTTTTAGATTCTCTTTTCTATCCTGCAATCAAATTCAAAAGAACCTATTTGTATGCATAATTTTGTAAATATCAACATAATGCTCTGTAATATAAAGGAGAAACAGAAAGTAACTTGTAATAAAATAATATATATTTCAACATGTCAGTTCTCTGGTATGACTACATTAGAAGGCATTAGGAAATAGCACATGCTTGCTTTTGTCATAAAATCATTATGAACGGGGAGCTACAAATGAAGATTGATACAGGTGTATTATATTGGTGACTTGAACACTGTAAGATACCATAATATAAGCAATGTTGCCGTTGATGGCATAATTTTCTAAAATAGTGAATAACTCTAGTAGAACAAAACACATAGTACTGCCTTCTATTTCACAGTGTTTGGAGTCCTGGAAAACCCAGTCTAGATTAAAATCTTGTGAAAATATTATGTGACTATATGTTAGACAGAGATAGATTCAAAAAGTAGGGCCTTTGCTTACTTTTTCTGTTTTTTTGAGAAGGAGTCTCACTCTGTTGCCCAGGCTGGAGTGCAATGGTACAATCTCGGCCCACTGCAACCTCTGCCTCCTGGGTTCAAGTGATTCTCCTGCCTCAGGCTCCCAAGTAGCTGGGGTTATAAGCACCCACCACCATGCCTGGCTAATTTTTTGTATTTTTAGTAGAGACGAGGTTTCACCACGTTGGTCAGGCTAGTCTCGAACTCCTGACCTCAGGTGATCCACCTGACTTGGCCTCCCAAAGTGCTGGGATTACCACCTTGAGCCACCACGCATGGCTTGGCTTTTGCTTACTTTTTCCAGCAAATATTTTCATGGGCCTACTATGTGTCTGGCACTGGCCTAGCCACTGGGACACAGATCTTACTACCTGCCAAGAAGAATGAATGTATTCAAACTCTATTACTGTATGGCTCACTCCTTCTCTTCCTTTGCTCAAAATGTCACCTACAATGAAGCGTTTTCTAACCCATTTAAAATGTCAGCAATCCTTCCATATTTTACATTACTGCTCTACCTTTTCTCATATCATTTATCATATCCTGACATACCATATATATATATATATTTTAGTTTCTTACTGTCTGTCTCCTCTGACCAGAATGAAAGTTCCATGAACACATATTTCTGTCTGTTTTGTTCTCTTCTGTATTCATAGCATCTATAACTGTGACTATCATAAAGTAGGTGCTAAATAGTAATAATAATTATTATTTTTTAAAGACGGGGTTTCACCATGTTGGTCAGGCTGGTCTTGAACTCCCGACCTCAGGTGATCCGCCTGCCTTGGCCTCCAAAGTCCTTGGATTACAAGCGTGAGCCACCACGCCCAGCCAATAATTATTTTTAAATGAGTATGTGAAAGGACTTTTTATGAAGTGTTGCGTGCCGCATAAATGATAGCTATTACTCCCATGACAAGGTTTCCCCTGAGCTCCCACAGCCCCCATCACACAGTTGTAATTGTGTTTCCTCCAAGAATGGGGTTCCTGGAGGCCTAGGACAGAGGGACCATCACAGTGAATATTCCCAGGACAACCTACCTAGGGCAGAGGAGTAAGAACCAAATGGGGGAGAGACAGGAGTTGGTAGAAGGAGGGTGTGGGGAGGCACTCAGTCCTGTGTCTTCCCCACCCAGTGCAGTCCCTGGAGGAAGAATGCCTGCTGCACAGCCAACACTAGCCAGGAGCTGCACAAGGACACCTCCCGCCTGTACAACTTTAACTGGGAGCACTGTGGCAGGATGAAGCCCGCATGCAAGCGCCACTTCATCCAGGACACCTGTCTCTATGAGTGCTCACCCAACCTGGGGCCCTGGATCCGGCAGGTAGGATGTCTCCTCCCCACACCCCAGCAGACTGCCATCCCCCTCAATCACTTCAAGGCGACGGCTGCCAGCATCCCTGGCTGAGAGGAGCCCTGCCTCCCCACCTCCCACCCAGGTGAATCAGAGCTGGCGCAAAGAACGCTTCCTGGATGTGCCCTTATGCAAAGAGGACTGTCAGCGCTGGTGGGAGGATTGTCACACCTCCCACACCTGCAAGAGCAATTGGCACAGAGGATGGGACTGGACCTCAGGTGAGGGTGATTGAGGTGGGGTTAGGAAAAAGCAGACTGAGGTGGGGTTGGAGAATCCTCAAGGATTTGGGGTGGGGTGATTTCTGGAGGGGGCCAGAAATGAGCTTCAGGGCCCAGGGGCTGAATGTCTGTGTCTACCATCTCTTTCCCTGCAGGAATTAACAAGTGCCCAGCCGGGGCCCTCTGTCGCACCTTTGAGTCCTACTTCCCCACTCCAGCTGCCCTTTGTGAGGGCCTCTGGAGTCACTCGTACAAGGTCAGCAACTACAGCCGAGGGAGCGGCCGCTGCATTCAGATGTGGTTTGACTCCACCCAGGGCAACCCCAATGAGGAGGTGGCGAGGTTCTATGCTGCAGCCATGAATGTGAACGCTGGCGCCCTGCTTCATGGGATTGGGGGTCTCCTGCTCAGCCTGGCCCTGATGCTGCAACTCTGGCTCCTTGGCTGAGTCCAGTCCTCCCAGACTACCTGCCCTCAGCTTGGATAACCAGGCTGGGTACCAGCTCCCACAAATGGCAGCATCCTAAGCATGCTTCCATTCGTCACCCAACACTCTGTTACCTGCTCAGTTCCTGCTCCATGGTGGGGCTTGGGGCTCTAGACTAACATATCCACGTCTGAGGAATTATTTTGGTTGTGAGTTTGTGGGTGGGTGGGAGACAGATTCTATAGCTTCTGGATTCCTTCAGATCAGAGCAACTAAACCTGTATTTTAACCCCAGCTCTGCTACTTGCTTTGTGAAAGTGAAACAGTTGCTTCACTGCTCTAAACCTTTGTTTCCTCCTGAATATAAAAAAGGATAATAGTCTTGCCCTCAGGCTTGTGAAATATAGAGGAGCTGTTGCCTAGAAAGCCCATGAGCCCAGTGTCTGCACATTAATAGTCTTTGGGGATCCTGTGGCTACTGTTGCCCCAAGTGAGAGCCAGGTTCTCAGCTGATTTATCTTGGTCTCCAAACAGCCTCCCGGTACTGGGACTGGGAGTCCAAGAAAGGCTCTGGATTGCCAGCGGTTTGAAAAAAAAATTCACACTGCCTAATGTGATGCACATTGATGGAGCAGCGTTGGGGCTTGGGACTCCGAGGAAGAACAGAGCCAATTGGAGAGGGTAGTTTAGGGGGTTCCTGGAGTGGAATACTCAAGAGCCTGGAACTGATTCAGCGCTTCTGTGTCCTGGAGGTGTGGCTGGAAGAGTTAGAAACCCTTAGGGGTTTCCGGGGTGAGGAGCCTCTGGCGCCTTTGTCTACTCCTAGGATTGGTGGATATGCCCATCTTAGGGTTTGCTCTGTCTTGGGGGTTGCTCTATCTTCGCACAGCCGTTGGGAGCTGGGCCTGAGCCATCTCTGGATCTCCCAACACCCCTTTCCCTTTGGCTAAGTGTTTGTTTCCACACTCCTACAACTGTCCCCAGAGAGGCATAGATAAGTGTCTTAGAACACCCTGCCAGTGGGCGGCCCAGCTAGGACGAGAACCCATGTGTGCACTCCTAGTCCAGGTCTCTCCCCCACTACCAAGGATTCCCCTCACACCAGGCTCATCTTTTCTTATACTGAAAGGTGACTGATGAAGAAGATGGCACAGATTGCAGGCTGAGTTATTGGGTTCCGGAGGCACCGTTGGGTGGCTCGGTAGATCTCTCTCTTTTTTTTTTTTTTTTTTTATTTAAAATTTTTTTTTTTTTGAGACGGAGTTTCGCTCTTGTTACCCAGGCTGGAGTGCAATGGCGCGATCTCGGCTCACCGCAACCTCCACCTTCTGGGTTCAGGCAATTCTCCTGCCTCAGCCTCCTGAGTAGCTGGGACTACAGGCACGCGCCACCATGCCCGGCTAATTTTTTGTATTTTTAGTAGAGACGGGGTTTCACCATGTTGACCAGGATGGTCTCGATCTCTTGACCTCGTGATCCACCCGCCTCGGCCTCCCACAGTGCTGGGATTACAGGCTTGAGCCACCGCGCCCGGCCTGATCTCTTAATTATTATATTTATCTAGCGTGGAAGGCCCCACAGAGCCCCTTCCACGTCCCAGGCTCTGTTCCAGCTGGGTTAGATCAATGCATATTTGAAATACAGGAAGGAGCTCGCGGGACTGACCCGAACTCCGTCAACAGGTTCAGCAGAGCAAACTGAAAGTTATCTCCCAGGTTAAAGGGAACCTCCCAAGGCTGCCCAAGAGTTGGCGGCGGCGGGCGCCGGGCTGGAGGCCTGCGCCTTTAAGGAGCCAGGGGACGGGGGGGCGGGGCAGGAAGACGACTCCCCGGAGAAGCCGCCACCGGCTAGGTGTTTTTTTGAGAGGGGGCGGGCCAGACCCTTTTTTTGGACTCCACCCCCTTTCCGGCGGCCGCGTCCCCCTTCCGCCCCTGGCGGGAGGGCAGGGGGTTGGAGGGCCTAAGAGCAGACCCAGTCAGGGAGCTCCCCGCTGGGCGTCCGGCCCGCAGAGGCGCGAGTTTGCTGACTCGGAGGGAGCTGCTGGGGCGGGGGCGAGTGCTAATAATACCCGTTTGTCCCGCAGCCGCGCTTTACAGTTTACACAGCTGTCACCTTCGTTCCTCCTTAATTAATAATAAAAATAGCCGCCTTTCGGGAGCGCGGGCGGGGCGCCAAGCCGGGTGCCGAGCACAGTACGAGCCCGGCCCCCAGAGGCGGCCCTCGCCACAGGATCCCCATTTTCCAGAGCGGGAAGCCGAGGCTCAGCCCCGCGCCGCGAATTGGCCGAGGTCACCCGGCGGGCCAGCGGCTCCGGGACCGAGGCGCGGGGCGGGGTGAGGCGGAGCGCAGTGCTTTCCCCGAGTCCCCGGGGCGGCGCGGGGCGGGGCGGGCTGCGCGGAGGGCGGGGGCGCGCGCGGATGGCCATCTTAAGTGGCCGCCGGGAGCTCAGGGACGCTGTCCGGGGAAGGGGGCGCCGGAGCAGCCTGGGAGGTGGGGGTCTGCGTGCGGCGGCCGGGATCCCGGGAGGGAACTTTTTCCTAGACGGGCCAGGGGAGCCTCCTGACCTCGGACTGCTGAACCCCGCCAAGGCCTGGCCTGCGGGTGTGGGGGCCGGTGCTGGGGAACTTGGCCGAGAGGGGGAAGGGCTCTGCCGGGCTGGGAGGGGCTGCGTGAGGGGCTCGAGGACTTCGCACCTCATCTGGGGGAGCGGATCTTCATGGAGGGGATCTCCTCGTGGGATTTGCCGGAGTCCGGACCCCGCGGAGTTAGGGGGCTGCGTTTCTTGGGAGTTGGGGGGCCCTGCCCGCATAGGTGGAGGGAAGAGGATTGGGGGGTCGTCCTGGATCCTTCGCAGGTTTGGGGAACTCGATGCAGCCAAGCTGTACCGGGGCCGAGAGGAAAAGCCGTGGAGTGGAATCAGACCTTTATGGGGCATAGGGGTCATATCACTGGGAGAACTGAAGAGCGCCGAATTTTCCGGGAGGTGCCTGGATCCCGAAGTGTCGGGACCAGGATGGGAGGACTTACATTTCGATGGGGGTTTGGGGACTGGATCTCTTCGGGTGAGTGATGGAGGCAGTATCATCGTGAGGTCTGGGAGATCCCAGGCCCAGCGGGAAGGTGGGGGCACCATCCCCGCTGGAGGAGGCTGGGGGCAGGGGCAGCCAGGGCTGCGGGCCGAGCGGAGGGGGAGGGGGCGGCCGCCGGCTCTGCGCTCCGCTCCCGCCCCTCCCCCGCCTCCTCTGAACAAACTTTTCTTTCTCTTCAAGTTGAGGCCGGCGCTGCGGGCAGCAGCGGCTGCGCGGCAAACTAGGCGGCCTCCGCCGCGGAGCGCCGAGTCCCGACCCTCGTCTCTGTCGGGCCCACGGATCCTAAAGCCCGGGCCCCGCGTCCCGGGCCCGGCCCCAGCCCCAGCCTTAGCCCCTAGCGTCCCGGGGCGGATGGCGCGGGGCGGCGGGCCCGGGCAGCGCTGAGCCCTGCGCGGGCCATGGCTTCGGCCTGCGGGGCGCCGGGCCCGGGGGGCGCAGCGCCAGGGGGCTCGCTGGGCAGCCAGGCCCCCGCCTGGTACCACCGCGACCTGAGCCGCGCGGCTGCGGAGGAGCTGCTGGCCCGGGCAGGCCGAGATGGCAGCTTCCTGGTCCGAGACAGCGAGAGCGTAGCGGGGGCCTTCGCGCTCTGCGTCCTGTGAGTGGGGCGGGAGCTCCTTGTGGGCTGGCTGAGACTGGGAGTGTGGGGAGGGCCCGGGTCAGGGTGCCTGGGATGGTGGGATTCCAGACCCGCCTCCAACCGCCAGAGTAGGGGTCTTGGCTTTCTCCTGGGTCTGAGGAAGGATGCAGGGGCACTTCCTGCTGTGTGCCTTGGGGCACTTTCAGGAGCCTTGAGGGCAGAGGATGTGGGGTTCTGCGGCCCAGTGTGGCTGTGATGGACGAAAAATTCGGGTATTTCCCGGCAGACCCCTTCAGGCATCCTCCAGGGAGCAGGGGAGAGGATGTGCCTTCCACGTTGTGTGCAGTCCCGTTTGGATAGGGACTGAGTGGTGAGCAGGAGAGGGAGTTGGGATAGAGGGACTGACGGGGTGTGTGGGGTGCCCGGCAGCTTCCTTAGGGCTCCTTTCTGTGCTCTGGGATTCTGCCTGGCTGTGTATGGCTGATGGGGGTGGTGGTGGGTGGTGTAGAGAGGAAGGCTTGGGGAAGCAGTGGCTGAGGCTGTATGGGACCTTGCTATTATTTATGAACCAATGAGTGAGTGTTTGAGCTCTGGCTCTGGGCTTGAGCCCTGGTTACCTGACTGTCCTAGCCCCCTGAGCTACCAGTGCTGAGAACAGAGCTAGACTTGGCGCTTGTCTGAGTGGGCCGGGTCCTGCGGCTGTGCCTGTCAGCCAAGTGTGGTAGTGGTGCTGGGGTGAGTTAGCACTTATGGTTTTGCAGTCTTCTCCCTGTCCTGTACCCCCTGCCTTGGAGTCTGACACTGAGTTGGCTTCTGTGGGCCTCTCAGTGGGAGTAGTGAGTGGGAATCTTGAGGGGGGGGCTGCTTTATTTAGATCTTTCTTAGCCCTGTGAACTCCCTCCCAAACTCCTCCCGATGTTGGTTCCTTACCCCTTTGTTCTCCTGACATCTTTGGTTAGGGGGCACATTGACCTAGACCACGGAAGACTTTTTTTTTTTTTTTTTTTTTGACAGAGTCTCACTCTGTTGCCCAGGCTGGAGTGCAGTATCATGATCATGGCTCACTGCAACCTCCGACTTCTGGGTTCAGACGGTTCTTTTGCCTCAGCCTCCTAAGTAGTTGGGATTACAGGCGCTCACCATCAAGCCCGGCTAATTTTTGTATTTTTAGTAGAGATGGTGTTTCACCATATTGGCCAGGCTGGTCTTGAACTCCTGACCTCAAGTGATCCACCCACCTTGGCCTCCCAAACTGCTAGGATTACAGGTGTGAGCCACCTCGCCCAGCCGGGGGTCATTTTTAATTGTTACAACTGGGATGATGCTATTGACATCTAGTGGGTAGAAGCCAGGAATACTGCTAAATATTCTACAGTGCACAAGACAATCCCTCACAACAAAGAACTGCAATCCAAAATGTCAGTGGTATGGAGGTTGAAAAACTCGCCTAGGCAATTGACCCAGCAAGGAAGGGGCCCTATAAGTCTCAGCTTATGCCTCAAGTCTGAGGCCCGTAGGGGGAGACTAAGGAGGGACAGACCAGGCAGATGAATATCTCGGAGTCCTGCCTCCCAGCCCCCTCTGAGGCATACCCTCTAATTAGGCTGGGGAGGGAGGCAGGTGCTGGGTCAGCTGTTGAGTGGGAGGGGGACAGCTGGGGCCTGTGTCTGGGTAAGGAACATTATTGTCCCAGTAGAGGCAGAATCCTGGCCCCATTGCCAGGGG